AACTACATACTATGGTCCAAATCCAGTTGTGTGCCTATTTTTGCAAATCCCTCGTTTGTAGAACAGAGCCACACCAATTCTTTCACATGGTTCCCTAGGGCTGCTTTTACCAACAGCAGAGTTGAAGGGCTGTGACAAAGAACACATAGCCTACACAACCAAAAACATCCACTACCTGGCCTCCTGCCTGGGAAGTTTGCTGACCCCTTGTCAATACACCAAGGGAATTAACCCATAAGCCTTACCATAGGCACTGATGTCACTGAACATTCCTGGAACATACTGCATAAGTACTGAGATTGTTTGAATCATCTGCTTGAGTTTAAATTCCTCATTTGTCCATTTACTAGGTGTGTGAATTTGAATAGTGCATTTAAACTTCATTATCTCAGTCTACCTCACTCCAGAACGGAAATAAGACACATTTTTATTGCACGGGATTGACAAAGGATGGCATTAAAACATTATTTGGCAGGTGGCAAACACTGTTTATGTGTTGGCCACTATTCTAATAGGTGCACAGTAGTTATTAAGCAATGAATGCTGGATAAATATTAAGAGATAATCTGACTAAGGTGCTAATTTGTTGAAAACATGATGGTAGTTAATGCAAAACACTTGTCAATGAAGTAACCTTTAAAAAGGGATACTGCTTAATTGAAATAAAAGAAATCATCAGAAGGGACATTAAACAAAGATTATGTTATTCCACCTCATTTAAGTGAATCCTTGGAAACAAAGTAACACAGGACTTCTTAAGATCTTACTTGTATTAAAACATGCAGAATGATTAAAGATCTAATTCAATAGAAATGGGCCATCATATCTGGAATTAAATAGAATATGTCTCTGACTTCATATCACACAATATATAAAATGTCATATACAACTGAAAAACCATTTTGTAGTCCCCCCAAATATTTCTGCACAACTGGGTCAGGTCTTTTCTGCCAGCCTTATTTACAGACACTACCGCTTGTCCATTACTGCTTTGCTTGATGGACCTGAACCAAGTATGCAAATTGCTCATCAGATCTTTGGCTCAATGTTCATTTAAATGTGCTCAAAGCATAAGTTCTGTGAAACACTAAACACAAAAAGGGACATAGTGGTGTCAATTTGGAGGCTCAGTGAAACTGTGACAAGCCTAACTACTGTTCTACAGGATTCTTAAGTCTAACAACTTAGCTAATCATTAGTGGAACAGATGGTTCCCAGATCAGCCTAATCGAAATTCAGATATGCTAAAGCCTACCATTTTCCCAGCTAAAGTGATCTGCTGGGTCTCTGCCTGAATGCATTTAAATGACAAAAATGCATGTGATAATCTACCTGTCCAGGAGTCACAACCAGCAAATCTATAAGAGCTACATCTGGAAAAATAGCTAGGTAGCAAGGAAAGACTGTGTGAAGACCTCCATAGAGTCTGTCATTAGACCTACCAAAGAGCTCCCACTGTTCAGTTCTATTGAACATGTTCAAAAATAGAATGTTTCCTTCCCTGACAGTTCCTCTCCTGCCAGCTTGAACAAGTGTTTCGCCCTATGATTTTCCCCAGGCCAACTCATTCAGTTTGTTCCAAGCCTCAGTAGCACACATAACCACACACAGAATGCAGACCAGAAGACTCTCCACCAAACATCTTTCCCAGGGCCAAAGCCCATGTTACACCCTTCTCATCTTTTCTCCTCCCCAAACGATGCTGTTAACCAAAGAGCTTGCTCATATTTCAATCCATGAATATCACCTGCACTTCCTTTTAACCTATAAGGTGTGGCTGATGTCTCGGATATTTTATGACTTCAGTTTTATTAGAAATGAACCAGGGAATGTTGCCCATATGCTGGTGTGATGTCAAGCTTAGACAGCTACCCAAGATCTGAGAAAGAAGGCAAGAAAAATAATTCTACATTAGAAAGAGGAAAGGTGTCACACTACAGACAAGTACCTGATGTTAACACAATCTGATCATCCATCCATGATCTAATTAATGTGATCAGCAATGCTTTGTGGCAAACTCAAGTTGAAAATGAGAACATGCTTTTAGAAACCAAGCTCCCCAAAACCCAGCACATGACTGATTTATATAAACCTATTCCAGGTAAATGTACATCTGTTACGTCTATTTGTTTTTTGTATTTTAAATTTATGTACTCAGAGACCCTGACCACTGAATTGGAAGCCTCTGGTAGCATAGTGACTCAAATTGAAAATGAATGACCTACAACAAGAAAGCAGAGCCTTTCAAATATAGCATCTCTATGATTTTCATTTCTCATACCTTCCTAGCTGAGAAAATCATTTACTGAAATAGCAGGGCTGACTCAAAAAAAAAAAAAAAAAAAGCTAAATAAATATAAGAGTAACACCCATTCACAGATTTCAAAAACCTGATATTTTCAGAAAAGTTACCTACTAACTATACTTCTTTCCATCCATTTCTCTATTTCTCAAGTACTTTATTTCCATTTCATTACTCCAGATGAAATGGAATCTACAAAATGCTGGCATAGGTAAGGATATATTCCAAGATGTCTAACCAAGAAAAATTATCAAAATTTCATGAGGTATACAATGGAAAATACATTAAAAACCTCTAAAATTTTAATCACCCTTGAACACCTTCCTTAGGCATTTAAACTAAAAGCCTCAACTATTACCAACTAAATGTTGCAAGAGTAAACTGAAAAATAAACCTTCAAACCAGGCTTTTGCCTGAAATGAATCTCAAGAAATGCTTACTTAACAGCAGTCTTAGGCATAGGTTTAATTTTTCAATTTTCTAAGACATGGAATGCAACAGCTTGGATTTTTCTGTTTTAGTTTAACAGCCCAGCTTCAATCCCTAGGTTTTTGTTATTCACAAGTCTTCACATTCACAGAAGTTACAAAACAAGTTGGGCACATGGGCAAAGGGGCAACAGGGACAGCAGCCCACAGCCATTAACCCTTGCTGCTAATTCTCCTGTGGCACACGGCATGCTCTCCAGAACTCCCAGTGCTGGGACTTCTCTCTGATGGGAAAATCAACAACACAAGCTCAGGGTTTCCCTACTCTATTGCCTTTACTTGGAAGAAAAACAACACAAAAGGGAACCCTACAAACACAAAACCTTAGCGTCTGTTATGAGATTCAAAAGACCCTCAGTCCACCTGCCTTTAAAAGGGGTCAGTATACCTTGCCTCATACAACAGCTAAAGACTCCAGAAAGCCCAGAATTATCCTAGATGTGAAAAAGAACTTCATATTTCAATAACCTGAAGAAAGTTTATTTTAGACATGAGAATTAACTAACCATTTCAGTACACCTGACACTTGAGATACTTTGTGTTCTCTCCATGTATAAGCTTTCATTTTTTGTGTGTATGTCTGCTCAGTTGGCGTATGTCAGACATGAGACTTTTTCAAATCTAATTCACTACAGAAAAAACAAATGAGGAACTCAGTCAGTTCAAAAATCAACATCATTTCACAATACCTACAAAATAAGATCTTATATCCCCAAAGACATACTTCTTTAGATATGATTTTTCAACATCCAAGATCTCCAACAGTTTGTAGCAAAAATTATTTTGTCTCTAATATTTGCAATAAAAATCACTCTCCTAATACTAAAATAAAATCTGATACAATAAATTTAT